ATACAAACTTCCAACCCCTTTTCACTCCCGTAAAGGATTATTTCTGAAAAACAACTATGTCCTTTATCGGAGCTCAAACTAACTGTATACCAAGTTTCATATAACGCGTCATAACATCTATGTTTAAAATAACTTAGGTATGTTTCTAAAATCATTATTAAACCAGGATATTCGTCACGAGGTATAATGTACGAATGCTTTGAGATATCCGAGACACGGGATGTAAAAGTGTCGGTATGTGTCACGTACTATTTGGGGGACGTTCATATTTACCTTGGCAAGTATTTAGGTCACTGTCTATATGTCTATTTTTATATTATTTTTTACGTCAATTACTCTTACTTACTTACTGACTGCACGGTTTGCGTAGTGGTTTAAGCGGTCGCCACGCCGCTCACTTTTACGCTAAGTTAAGTACGGGTCCGATCCCCACGTGGGACGACTCTTTGTGTGATCCACAAATTGTTGTTCTGAGTCTGAGTGTTTTTTGTGTCCGTTACATGTATATTTGTAAAGTCCTCCGAAGACACAGGAAATAATCCTAATGCGGGGGTTGTCTTTAAATAAAAAAGAAATAATAATAATATCTTGAGACACATTAAAATATAAATTTTCTATAGCGATTAGAAGGTAAGCAAAACCAAAATGTTCATATTTTCATGAAATAAAGATTATTACGTTAAGATTATGAATTTTTCTACACAACTATGAGAATGAAAACGTGTACTATAATATCAAGATCAGATCTCTACTGATTATGTACTATGTATAAGTAGGTATTGCTAGGACTGACTGCTGTATATAATTAACACTACTTTGTTTTGTAATTGTCAAAGGAATGCTGTTGTGCTGTATAAATATTTTTCTTTATGTTTTTAATTTCCTTTACACTTTTTTGGCACTAAATCTGCCCATTAAATTACCTATTTAAAGTCTATTTGTCCATCCAAAGGTTGCCTGTAAGATATTGCTTTTTAGCGATAAGGCCGCCATTTGTACATGGTCATTAATTTGGAATACTATTGTGTTTTTAATATCCTGAATTGGTGTACAATAAAGATTATTCTATTCTATTCTATTCTATGTCTGTCGTTACAATGATTTGTACAACATTGAGCGTTTGCTCGTAATTACCGGCCCTATTCATCAGCTGTGTATAACGTCTGCAAAAGAGCGAAGTAGGACCACGCTGTACTGCATACCTGAAAAATAAATAAATAATAAAATAACTGATTATCGTTTTTTATGTTTCTATTCGGACTAATTCTTTGAATATAATGTAGGATATAGTACCCTCATAAAAGCCCTTAGGTTCACATCAGCAAATTTAGCTGCTGTCAATTTACACGGAGTTTGTGACCTGCAATCACAAAAAGGTCATTTTTTGAATTTCAATCACAACTATTTTTATTCATTTCAAAACTGTATTTTTATTGATGTAATACCATATATCTTTCAAAAAGTTTTCAATGTTACACTTCCAATAAATTCGTTAGCTTTGACTGCACGGATCGCGTAGTGGTTTAAGCGGTCACCTTGCCGCTTTCTATTGTGCTAAGTGTTGTGGTATGGAACCCCACATGGGACAACACTTCGTGTGATCCACAAATTGTTGTTTTGAGTCTGTATGTTCTTTGTGTACGTTTCATGTCTGTCTGTAAAGGTCCCCGTGACACAGGATTTATTCCTCGTGCAGGAGTTGTCTTTTTGAAATAAAAAAGGTTCTTGCTATAAGTGCAGATTTTGGGACACAAAATTAATTATAATATTATTTTTTTTGTTACCTTGTTTGCACCATAAGCAAAATCTTTCCAAGTGAAGGGACTGCGTGCCATCTAGAATTGTATATGGCATCGCTTACTTCTGCACTCTATAAAAAAAATTGAGAAGACATTAAAATACTATATTATGTAAAATACAAAGCAAGTCCAAGTGCATATACGTATATATGTCAAGCTCGAAAAAGATACCACCATTTTTAAATAGTTAATTCGTCCCGCGAAAAACAGAAAATTGATGTTTTACCTAATCAGTACAGATTGGTAAAAAACTGATTTAACAGAATTCAACATCAACTTATTATTAGGTGACATAATAAAAATGTCTATAAATTAAAGATAAAATGAATTACCGATTCCATCAGAAGATTGCCGAAAAAACACAGGTAGAATATTTGCAGAAGTGACATTATAAGAAAACATAAAAATGTGAAAACATACACAATACCTTTGATGGCCTGAAATCAAATAAAGTGTCAAATTAATAACTCTCATTTCAAGATATTTATATTATCCTAAACACCTTTCTATGAAAGCTAAATAATAATAATAATGGGACACATTTTTTTACATTTTTAAATGTTTTTTTTGTACAGTATCTAAAAAAAGAATTTATGTTTATATTTAATAACAAAAGAATAATATCTAATGATAATATTTGGGACATCTGACATAATGCCATCTGGTTTCAAACTAAGCAGGGCTTGTACTATGAAAACTACATTGACTGATAGAATACTTACATACTTTTAATGTAAATATATACATATTAGTATACATAGAAAACACTCAAACTCCGAAACAAATATTTGCAGATCAAACAAACATTTGGTCCGACCCGGGAATCGAACCCAAGACCTCAGCACAGCAGTCGCATATGCAACCACTGCACCGCCGATTATTTCTTGTAAGATTTTTTTTTTAAGAGTTGCCCCTGGGTGAGCCCTGCTATGGCACACATGGCCTGGCTTCATCGGAGTGATACCACTACCTCGCAGAAAACCGGTATTGAGCAGTTCCATTCAGTGAATGCACTAAACACCAACCCTCCCCCCCCCGCCTTCTGATTCTGTAGGGGGGTCTGAAGTGGTGGCATCGCATTTATGACTTTTGAGCTGTAGATGTCCATGAGCGCTAGTAGTCACTTGCCACCAGGTACGTCTGCTCGTTTGCCCTCTCTGCCAGATTATGTAATTAGTTACTTTTAACAAACTTTACACTCAATCGACTGTTCGGATGGCGTAGTGGTATAAGCGGTCGCCACGCCGCTTACTACTACGCTGAGTGTTGTGGGTTCGATCCCCACATGGGACGACACTTTGTGTGATCCACAAATTGTTGTTCTAAGTCTGGGTATTCTTTGTGTCCGTTTCATGTATGATTGTAAAGTTCCTCGCGACATAGGATTTATTACTAGTGCTGGCGTTGTCTTAAAAATAATAATTAAATATTAAGTTAATGAATTATGAAGTGTTTTTGTTCAGATAGGTCAAAATACTTACCACAACGTTAAAACCTGTAAAACATATAAGCAGAGAGCTCACAATAAAATTAAATAGCGTAGATCTGGTGTACACAGTTTCCAATACATCCACCGAACTGCAACATAATATATTAAACTTCAATTAAACTTATAAAGAAGTTAAGTTAAGTATTTACACATGGCTTCTCTCGAAATCAAGTTTTCTTATTCAAAAACTTAATGATAGAAATCTTGCCAGTGTACGTTATTTAGAGCTATAGATATAGAAAAAATCTATGTAAAAATCATTCTTGAGTACAACAACAACAATAAAAGTTACTTGATTTCAAATGCTTGGTGATAAAGCAAATCGATTGAACAGAACGGTCGGACGAATGCCTTTCAAGTACAAAAGACAAGAAACACATTAAAAAGGAGGCAGTAAAACTTTTTTGTTAGTTATTGTGGCAAATTAAATGTTTGTGTCATGTTTGTGTCAATCATCATCAATTTATTGAATTTAAAATTCTTCATCATTATCAACTTTAGTTGTCCACTGCCTGGATATGGGCCTCTTCTAGGAAGGAGGTTTTGACCTATTATCACATCACTGGCCAAAAAAATTAATCAAAAAGCAAGAACCGAGTCTATTCAAAAGTAAGGCACGTAATGAATAAATATATACATAAAATCCCTTAAAGTTTAGACAAAGAATTGAAATAAGGGTACCTTAAAATTTGCTGATGCCATTTGATTAGTTCGTTTAGCTTCAATCGTATTTCTCCTTCGTTAAAATTCCTTTTGTCCGATTCTGAAGGAATTACTTTTTCAATATAGTATTTAAGTAGACGAAATTGAATACGCAAGTATACACAAAAGGTATAAAACAACATGTCTGCGCATCCAATACCGGCAAGTACCACAACTTCTAAAAAAATATGTTTTTTTACATTTCTTATATTTGTATCACACTGATTTCGGGTAATGTCCTTGCTACTATGTAAGGACATTGTCCGAAATCAGTGTAAAGTAGAAGAAATCTCCGAAATCAGTGTGAAGTAAAATAAATCTCCGAAATCAGTCTTTGCTCGTCAATAATAACTTTTAATAAAGTATCACCAACTTCAATGTCATGATGCGATAATGATGAGAAGTTTTATCGGGGACTTCCTCCCTAGGGTATACAACAGTTCGTTGCAATAGACTATATGGGACGGTCACACACTCAGATCATACAAACAACATACAAACCTTGTTTGTATGATCTGAGGACACACATCACCGTGCGGTTTCAGTCGTTTGGATTCCGACATCACGACGATTCAGCGGTAAAATCTCGAAATAACCCTTACTGGGTTATATTTTTTTAATTATTATTAGTATTTTTTAAATCAGTTCATAAATACCGGAGTTCTGAGGTACAGGTGACCAACCGAAACTTACATTTTTGAATTCAGTTTTAAAATAAATTTATTGTTTTAACTACTGGCTCAAGCATATTACAAATAGTAACTGCTTTTTTTGGATATCGTCATTGCATAAGAAATAAGTGAAAGCTTCACAATCACAAGGCATTTTCTTCATGACTTAACAAGAGCCATTTTAGGAAGACTTCAAAGTCTTCCTCGGGTTTTCTACATTACTTACCTGAGGCGGTAAAGTAAGTCTGGGCTCCATAGCAAAACGAGCTTTTTAGCTAAAAATGCACTACCTAATTAAACTTATAGCAGTTGTTAATTTTCTAAGTTTTTCTTTGAATACTAACCTGACCAAATTTGTCGTAAATATACATATGGATAATATTTTATATCGAACGCATCGAAAGGATACACGACCAAAAACGGTAAAATCAATTCCACCTCGTTGGTTTCCAAGTATTTTAAAAGCATTAACACCAATGGGATGAAAGGAAATGATGCAAGAAGTACGATGTAGAAGATATACAATACTCTTATTGTTTTGTTCAAATAGTCGTCTTCTTCTTTTATTATTTTGTCGACTTCCAAATCAATGGGACGGTTCTTCTGCTCTGTTTCAAATTGCCTTATATTATTGATCAACAAGTCGATTGATTTTTCATTTGCAATCACGGGAACAATTTTTGTATTTCCTAACCAGCATATAGTTACGCAGGGTAAAGCGTAACTCAGTTCTATGAGCTTTTTCTTCTGAGCTATTCCTGATATTACATAAACCATTGCTCCAACAGTATCGATATTAAGCATAATGAAGTTAAAAATATACATGAACCAAGAATAATATTTGTGTTTTTTTGTTTTTTCTTCAATCCTGATATTTGTACCGCTGCATCGTAATATGAAATTGTTCTTTCTTATTATTTTATCAATTAGAAAGGTTTGGTCTGTCAAGTCTTACGAATGTTCTTTCATAGAATTCAGGCAGCTCAAATAAATGTTAGATCCTTCAAAAAATAGAAAAAAAAAGATTATCATGAATTGTATGTAACGTATGATAGGTTTCTCTTTAGAAACCTTCCTTGACATCTGGTATATGGTATCATTTTGGTATATGGATATACCTTCCTTGACATCTTTTCTACCACATTTAATGCAAATAAATGGATTAATATTATTGTATTTTACCATTTTTCAATAGCATCCAAATAATAACATAATATCATAAAAATTAATATGATATAGAAATATCTGTGGGTGTCGTAAGAGCCGACTAAGGGAGCAAACTAAGCAGGACAACAGCACTGCAAAGAGAAGGAAAACTTGAAACAAACCCTATACCAACCCGTCTGGCCAGCGTGGTATAGTAGGCCAAAACCTCCTTTCTAAGGAGAGGCCTATGTCCAGCAGTGGACTAGTATAGGCTGTTGATGATGATGATGAGAAATATCTAATAGCAGCAAATGTAATATTTAAAAAAAAAAAAAACATAATGTCTACTAATGATAATAATAATGTAATTTTAACTAATATTATAACTTAAACTCTAGATGGTTCACAGTTTTAAATATACATATAATTTACATGAATATTTGACAACTACTTCCTAATTTATTATCTGTGGCAGTCCAAAAACTTTTGTGACCGATTTCAAATATAATTAATTAATTTAAATTTCAATAAGTGGATTGTTTTTTCATGTCTTACTTAAATAAGTTATTTAATGATTACTAACATAAAAATAGAGAAAAAGGGAGTTCAACTACAGTGATTTGTAGTGGTAGACATGTAGTTGTATTTTTATTTTTAATATTTCTGATTGAAGTGAGTGAGATGAAATTTTTTTTTTGCTATTTCATTGTAATTAGTTTTTAAAAACAATTTTTCAATTTAAAAATAATTAAGTCCTTTTTTTAGTTTTAGAAAATAAACTTACTTTTATATAGGTACTTCCTATGTGAAGGTGTAACTGCAAATGTCTTGGAAGGTATTTTCTAGAAGCGTTAAGTATTATTTATTGGGCTCATATTTAGAATAGTTACACCCTTTTGTATATCTACTAACACTTAGTAAGGACATATAATTAAACATATTGTAGTCAATAATTAGACACGAAATAAGATAGTACTTCTTATACACGGTGTTACAAACGAAATCATGAATTTGGAAATGAAATAATATTCATTTATGTATTTCTTTTTACATGATATTGAGAAAAAGAAGTACGTTAAATAAGTATTCTGTTAAAAATGGTAAGCGGTCAACAAAAGATATTAAGATAAGGCAAGAATATACTTTTGTTGCAACACAAAGATTAAGAATACGGAGTGTCACCACCCCTATTCGTCCGGTGGGTGTCGGACCGGAGGGGAATAGCCATAGCGTATTTTCACGATACAAAATATTCTGTAATTTTTTTCTGTCATCTTTCATACGCACACTTTCTTGCACTCCCATACAAAAACAATTGGCTGCCACTAGTAATTACACTAATAACATTGTAATAGAGAGACGCACTACATTGACATGTTGCCAAACAACCGTGGCTGTAACAACTATCGATACACAATATCGATAAATTCTATGATAATAAATTGTATGATAATGTGTCACTATATAACGCCACCAAACCCATAAAAAACAAAAACATAATGTATCAAAGATTTCGTACCAAATAACATTCACTTTTTGCTCGGCCCATCACTATTACAAAATTTCCTCTCGTGAATCTTACGAGCGAAAAGCTCGGCATACGCAGCTGAACGTCCCGCGTGCCCCTATCCACTTGTTGCTCCCGAGATTGTGCAACTGTATCAGGCTCACTGGCTCTATTGAGGTGAGCCGTGCCTTTTGCTCGCTGTCAAAGACTTGTTTGTTCCTGTTCAAGTTTCGTACTGAGAACGGCAGTGTTATATTTAGATGACGTTTTGGTTTTAACGACAGTTATTGACGTTATGGTTGTACATTTTTTAATAAATCGTCTGTTTGCCGTTTAAATTGTTCATATAATCAAACGCTGATTAACAAAGATCTGGCTAGATCATGTCATGACTGACTCTATTGTGGTGAGCCGTGCCTTTTGCCGGCTGTCAAATACTTGTTAGTTCCTATTCAAGTTTCGTACTGAGAACGACAAAGTGTTATATTTAGATGCCGTCGTGGTTTTGCATTATTCAATAAATCATCTACGATAACAGTCTGCTCATTTGCCGATTTAGCTATGCATCTTATTAAACGCTGATTATTCAAAGATCTAACCAAACCATATCATGATGTGATCGACCATTTCGTGCGAAATGAAAATTTAAATCAATCCTGTGATTGGGTCACGACATATACAATAGTTAAACAACACGCTGCTTTACGATACACTCAAGTTCTAAATAAAGCCCGTACTTGTCTTTGTTGGGTCCAGTTTCTATTTATTAATGCCTTCCTGGGTTTACTTCAGTAGTCCAAAAACATCCTGATTTTTCAGTATTTCGTTTTATTCTTGCGGTCAGAAAATACTTTATTTAGATCATGCGGATGCTGAAATTTACTTTGTTTGTCTCCATTGCTCCATTAATGAATTACTCTAATTCAGGTCTCACGTCGAAAAAGAAGACTAAGTAATTGATCAATAGTATTCTTGTCAAGTGCAACAAAGTTAAAATTAAGGTCTCGATAAACAGTACTTTTTGTCCGTGTGGTGACGGATTAAGAATACAGTGTGTCATCACCCTCACTCATCCCGTGGGTGTCGTAAGAGGCGACTAAGGCAGCAAACTACGCAGTTCAACAGTACTGTAGAGAGAAGGAAAACTTGAAACAAACCCTATACCAACCCGTCTGGCCAGCGTGGTGTAGTACGCCAAAAACTCCTTTCTAAAGAGAGGCCTATGTCCAGCAGTGCACTATTAAAGGCTGTTGATGAAACAGTACTTTTAAGATTTTCGATTATGAACAATTTATATTAGAAATTGGTTCTTAGAAACTAGACGACCCAACACGCACGGCACCCGATTCTGATGCTGTTTAAATCATACAAAATCATTTTAAGTTCATCGTTACCTAACTTAAAATAATTAGCTACGAACTAAATTCTAGTGATATTCATAAAAGTATTTGGATAACATATAATCTGATAAATCTGACAAATGCTTACTACACAGAGTTTAAAGAAATGGTCTTTAATTATACCTACCATGAGAGTAGTTAGACTTAGCTCGTTAAAAAGTACTCGGCAAATTGGTGTTAAAAACCACTTGGTTTCGTATTACTAAAAAGAATTAATAAAATATTCTTCGCTATCCAAAAGTTAAGATTCAAAATAAGGCTGGTAGGTCATAAAACTGTAATCTCCATTTTGCACATTGGTTTTATTCCTGTGGACGGTAGAGAACCATTGTATAAAGAGCAAAAAACTCGATTCAAATAAAAAATGGAGTGGCGAGATAGCTTTGTTTTGTATCTGTTGGTAATGTGTCGAAAACGTATCCCGTGTAGGACGTAAATATAAAAGACCATTTCACCAACAGTTTCATCGTTATCTGACGTAGTCGTGTTCAACACGGCAGAGTGGCTAAACTCCCCGTTGGCCGACAACTGTACACCAGCTTTTCGTTTTCGTACAAACGCCAGCTGAGTGATTAATGGACGGAATGCATTCGGCCATTCTTCTTATTTTTGCGAAGCAACAGGTTGCCAGAGCGTTCCACGATTTTCCAAGTTAAATGTTACGTTTTGTGAAACCTTTCACGGAACACATATACCTTTAAAGTTTTTGACAAATATTGCGTCAATTTAAAAGTTTGCCGCGTTAATTTGACAGTTTTCACGATTGCACTGTTTCAGTGGTACTGACTGGCTTGCAAACGGTTAATTTAAAGATTGTCTTTTTGTATACGATATAAACCAGAACCACTTAAGAACACTGGACGCGAAAGTCACTAAGACATTAAAGTCGTGGCTCGGGCTAGCAACATCTGCAGACCCGTCAACGTTGTACAGGAGCTCGAATAACTTAGGAATGAAATTAAAAAGACTCAACAAACACCTAAGAGTTGCCAAATTGCATGTCTTGTCAAAATCACAAGACGAAATCGTTGAATCCCTGCCAAAAGACAAAACTTCATCAGAGCTCGAGTCACAGCTCCAATTCCTCAAGAAATTTATGGTGGGTACACAGTTCAGTAGCGTTGGATTGGGAAATGCTAGAAGAAAAACTGATAAAGAGACAACAAAATCTTTCCTAAAACAACTCTTTTCGAAAACGAGACATACAACCTAGACATGCGGAATGAATGGTTAACTCTAGGAGAATTTTGTATCCCACCAGCTTTGAAATGGCTCACACTTTTATACGATTGATCTCCTGCCCTGTTAAAATTTTACCTCGACGCCTTTCAATTGACTCTCCCCGATCAAAGCAACCTAGTAAGATGGCGAAAAGCTACAGAAAAGGCTGTAAGGCGCTATTAGACCGGGGTCATTATTCACGTTGCCATGATGCCAAGAAGACCGCACAAAAGCCGTAGCTCAATTGAAAATATCGCCAGTGACTAGACATTATTAGTGGACAAGTATGAAAATCATTACAGAATACCAGAGGATATCTGTTCCTCGGCGTCCAGACCAGACATATTTCTTTATGCAATTTCATCAATTAAGCGTGTAGTACTAATAGAACTCACGGTGCCGAGGGAAACGAACATCCCTAAAAGACCACGCTTTAAAAAGAAACAAGTACCTACTTTGACTTAACCAACGAAATAACTAAAAATGGTTATGCCGTGGAAGTG